TATTGATGAAACATTGATTGGCCTATAGTTTCCTGGGTCTGTTTTTTCTCCCCTTTCTTGAAGATGGGAATCACATCAGCCCTTTTCCAATTCTCAGATATTTCCCCCGATGCTCCAGGATTTTTGAAACATATGGTACAATGGTTCTGAGATAACATCTGCCAGTTCACAAGTCTGGGATGTAATCTGTCAGGTCCCGGTGATTTATATTCATCAAGTTCAGGTAGGTGTTCTCTTACCATTTTCTTGCTTATTTTAATTTTTGTTTCTAGTTTGTCTTTTCAAGTAGTTTTTTTGGTATGTTGGGCTATAATTTGTTTTTGTGTGAAGACTGATGCAAAGAATGAGTTAAGCAGCTCTGCTTTCTCCCTACTGCCTGTTACTTACTTGCTATCTTCTCTCTTTAGTGGACCTATAGTTTCCTTGACTTTTTTCATTGTCCTTGATTTCTGTTGCAAGTCTTTGTTCATTCTGAGCCTTTGCTTAGCAAAAACAGTAAGTTCAAATATGAAGCTTGCAGAAAAAAGCCTTAATATTTATTTTGGTATATTTGGAAAGTTAAGGATATTTTGCTCGTTGGATAAAAGCTGGCACATTTTGTACCAATTACTGATGAGGAGAGCTGTTTCTGCTTCAATCAGAGGAATTTGATAAAATTCACCTTTTTTTTTCTTCCGAGTATTTTTCCTGCAGCTGCAAGATCCAAATGCTGATCCATTAGTTTTGACAATAATTCACCAACAAACTTGTTAACTGAGTCTGACCTTATGGGCTGACAAGGTCATCCAGACAGCTTTCATGCCTAAGGTGGGACTAGAACTCTCTGTTTCCTGGTTTCTAATCTGGTGCCTTAACCACAAAGTTGTTTTCTCTCCCTCTGCCTCTTTTTTAAAAAGTTATTAAATCTGTTGTTGAATATACCACAAGTTATGGTTGTTTTAGACTTCACTTCATTTATTTACACTAATTTTGTAGAACTTTCTTGTTTTCAAATATAGAAGAAATAAATCTATTGTATAGGAGCCATGATATCTATAGGAAATTATTCTGGCTACAACAGCAAAACTATGCTAATATAATATATTGGAAACAGTGAATAAAACATAAAAATTCGACCCCATTTCTAAAATCTACATAAACAATGTAAATAAATATGGTCTTTCCAGAGGAACAAAACTACAAAGCTTGAGAGTGGGCATGTGGGAAATAGGGAACCTGCCAATGGACATAAATTGATTACAATAAAGTATTTTGTCCTAGACTTGAAGAATCCTTATGGGGCTAGGACCATCTCATTTTCTACGACCAGATGAACAAAGGGCATCTACTAGCAGTATATCCCTTTCTCCATAATTATGGCACTTTGCCGACACTTTGGAAACTAGGGTCTTTCAGTCACTTTCAAGCACAATAACAGATTTCCACAATAAAAAAAACAACAAGCCTTTTGTGTAATGGCATCATTTCTTTTGGGCAGCAATTAAAAGTTTACCAGTTCCCATCTCCATGAGTTCAACTCTGAAGGTATCCAAAATGAATCAAAGGAAGAAGAAACAATTGAGAGTAATTAAAGATATCACCTCTCCTATCAATGAATGGAGACAATTGAGTGTATACTTGCATCCTGATTCTTTCATCAATGCTAAAACAAATGTGAAATAATGCAGTTATTCTGTATGAAGTATCTTAACTAACAAAAATATTATGTACTTCATTAGGTCGATCCTGCTTTTATTGTATTGGTCATGTAAGCCTCTCTTATTCAAGCCCACATCATGAACTAGCAGTTGAAACTCTATCCAGTAGCATGTTTCTGCACCAAATGCTCAGCTTGCTAAAGCTGATGAATTTTGCATTGTCTGTCTGACAGAATCTTCAAAAATAACTTTCAGGCATGTTACAAAATTAGTATTACAAAACAGGCTAGGCTGAATGACAAATGGAGTATTTCACTTTACAGTTGCTTCAAACATTAGACTTATTTAAAAAAAAACCTGTAACTCGAGGTTCAATCTGTATAAAGGTTCTCCAATCTCAGAGAAACATACTGTATAGTTATAGAAATACACTCTAAATAAGAGAGTATACTTGTTTGGACTCCTTTGAACTGATTATGCCCATCCAGTGACAAAATCTTAAAAAGCTTATTAAAAGATCAGTTTATCTGTAGTTAAGGAAACATAAATGAAACAACACGCCTTCTTCATGGTGAACCCCATTCTTTGGACTACTTACCTCCAATAGCTAATAGCCCCTGCCCATATGTACTTAGAAGATAATTAAAAGAGTTTTATTTTACAAAGCCTTCAGCCCTAATTAATGTTATTAAAGTTCATCTTGGGGAATAGTTGATTTATCTGATATCCTACTAGGTTTTGCTCCAAATATTAGACAGACTGGTTCATAGTCTAGACGAGCTGGTTTTGTTACTAAAGCAAAGAATTGGCTAGCAGCTTATCTCCAGATTATCACCTCTCATTGTCCTAATTTTAGAACAGGCATGCAATGGCTTATCTTTATGATTGGGCAATTGGGAGACAGCAATCAAATTATCAGTCAATCTGGCATGGACTCAAGTACATCTCCTCAAATATTTGACACAGCAAGGCCACATGATAAACTTTTTTGCATGACAATGAAACCATCCCAGTCTGTTGGCTGCCTTCTTCACTGTCCCTTCTTATATATGGATATGCTGTAAATCCACGTGCTTGTTTTTGTCTTTCTGAAGCTTAATGCACATTTTGCTGTGCATTTCTCAGTCATGATGTTTGACGGGAGTAGGCTGCAGACATAACTAGCATTTCTGCATTTCAGAAGCTCTATCTCCAGATTATTCCAAACCGATAGACTGAACAGCATGGATTGCTTCAGGATTCAGTTCTCAAAAATATGTTCCCCAAGTTCTGACTTCCGGTTTTGGTTCGCGGCGTCTCTAGTCGTACGGGGAGACTTCTCTCCTCGTTGGCTAGCTTTCCCTCCGCCAGCAGACCCTTGTGCGGGTCCAAAGTCGCCCCCGAGGCTCTGCTCGGCTGCTGAGGAGCGGCGGCTCCCTCAGCTGTCCGAGCCATCTCTGAGGGCCGACGGAGAAGATCGGCCAGTAAAATCGCCGATCACCCTGCTGCTTCAAACTGCAAGTCAAAGAACATCTAAGCTGTAAGAACACTCGTGGTGAATCCAGGTGAGACTTTTCTTTATTGTCTCTATTCTATTTTGGTTTTGCTACCTGAAAGAGCCCTTTTGGAATTACTTTCCTGCTTGAAAAGGCAGCTTCTACATTTTTTGGGGGGAAGAAAGGCGTTCTATAAAAATAGAACAAAATTTTAAAGACTATATTTAGTTTTATATTTTTTGGGATACAGAAAAAAAAATTCTTCTGTTCTTTTCCTCTTTTTCTAAGAACTGTACTATCATCCTATGTTGGAAGATTATTTCTTTTTCACATTATACTTTAAAAGATAGAAAAAGAGAAATGGCGTTTGAAAAAGACCTTTTTTTAACTTACTGAGGACATCTAGTGGTGAAAATTTAATACTGCACCCTCTGGTTACTTGGTTTGAAGATAGCTGATCTTCAAAATACTTTTGAAAAGGAAAGATAAGCTGGGTAACTGTGGGAACTGTGGGAGTGGATATTGCCTAAATTATATTAAATATAGCCTCCACAAAAAAGAAAAAAAGATTCTCTTTTTAATTACTATCAAAATGGAGAAACTTCAGTCACATTTAAACTGTACACTTATATTGGAAAAGATCTATGAGGCTACTGCAGAAATATATGCTACAATGAAAAAGTTTACTACAGAACTAAGATCTAGGGATTTCACTTCAAATGTTCAAATGGACGTCCAGGTTATATCTGACTATGGTATAAATCAAAATATATTAGAAGAGGAATCAACAGAGATAAAAGAGGAACTTATTCTATCTTACAAACCTTCCATCTGCAACTTTGAGGAACAGAAGAAGCAAAGACTGAGATTTCAAACTACAAAGCAACAACGCTTCAAGGAGGAGAGCATCTGCAACTTAGAGGAACTGAAGAAGCAAAGACTGAGACTTTAAACTACAAAGCAACGACCCTTCAAGGAGAGATACAGACATCTAATGCAGAGGATGGGATTGCTATTATTGCAAATGCTACTGCGAGCAACAAAGACAGATCTACTGGCTGAAAGGGAAGTGTCCCTATGGAAACCTGTTTGGCACAGGAAAAAAGCCAGAATTAGACTGAAAAGAGAAATTTAAAATTGTGTACTGGATTTAAAGGCAATTTTTGATTTATGGTTTTTTTAAGGATTATGATTTAGAGTTAGAAGCAAGAAAAAATATAAACATATATATATGAAGGTGATTTTTAGAAAAGATATTTTAAATAGATTAAGAATACTTTTTGGAATAACATATTTATTTTGATGAAAATTATGTATTGGAATTGAAAAAATGTTGATTTTTTAAAGACTGGGATGGTTTTAATAATTAATGGAGTGTCTTAGATGATTTTTTTTGTACAACATAGATGTGATAAGGTATGACAATCAATTGGATGAAATTTGAAGTTTCTCTAATGAATTGAAGTGAATTAACATTATTTTTTAATTAAGATAGCTATTGTGTAATGGAGGAAGAAATAAATGAGATTGGTGATAAAAGGAGGGATGAGAGAAATTAAGAACTAGAATATATTTGGAAGGGATATCTGAACTGATAACTTGTTGAGCTAAAGTGAAATTTGATTTTGGTAATTGTAAACTGATAAAGTTTTAAAACAGGTCTAGTAGTAATAGAAATTTAATTTAGAAATGGAATATTTTAAACGTATTATGTTATTTGAGAGAAATAGAGAGGAGACAGTGAATGTATTGAGTTGAGTTGTTTATTTGGAATGTCTGATTACCCAAACACCACAGTGTGTCCTGAGTACTTTTTCTTAAAAATTAAAAAAAACCAATAAAATATTTTCAAAAAAAAAAATGTTCCCCAAGTTCTGAGGAAATACTAAGTTCCGTTACAGCAACATGTTATCACGGGCACCTTTCATGGTGCCCAATCTGAATTGCCCTTTTTTAATTTTTCAAAAGTTTTTAATTAAAAATATAGAGCATAAAATCACTATATTCTAAAGTGTCAGTATTCTTAAGCTTTAAGGGGACAACTATTCTCAGAAGATAAATACTAAACATGTGTCCACCCGTATATATTACTTGCATCTACGATAGTCTATATTTATATAAAATATGTGTAGTTCATGGTAGAATACAGCAGTTAATATTTAAGATAAGATTCTGAGGCAAAAGACGAGAATTGGAATCTCTCTGAAACTGTTTGATTTCTAAAAGCCTTTTTCTAGTCAACACAGCAAATATACATGAATAAAAATATTTGAAAGATACATCATAATCCAATCAGGTAAAAAGCGGGCACAGTCTGAACCAAATAGCGAAACGTGAAGCTTTTGCTGTTTCAATTGCTTTCGTCTGACTAGAAAGCGCAACGCGTGCGCAGTAGGCAAAATAGCTTTTTTTTTCGTCTTCCGCCCGTTCTTCCCTTCCACTTCCGAAAGGTCCTTTAAAGGACCAGCAAATCTTTAAAGAAACGAATTAAAAATGGAGACTAAAATCAATTGTCCCATGAGAATGTGAGATGATTAAATCGGGGGACTCTTGCGACTCACTGAAAGGCTGGGTTTCAAATTCAAGGCAAAGCAATTGAGCTCAGCCTGCTGCAATTCGGTTCCGAGGGGCAAGCACGTAATGGAGTTGCCGGAGCCTGCAGTCGGAAAAGTCGGTGACTTAGAGGAAGCAGGGGAGACTGGACTCTGCCGGCGATCACCGCCAGTATCGGTAGCAGCGGTACTACCTGCCGGAGGAAGCGGTGAAAGGTTGGGTGGCAGCACTCCGAAGCAATTTTGTCTCATGCTGGGGAGGCCGCTCATTAGCTATACCGTGCAGGCAATAGAAAGGTAAAGCTATACTGTTGATGCATTCTTCCGGCCCAACACACCTGTATCACTCAGCACCCCATTCCCATGTGCTTATGAGGAGAAAAGATGCATGACGAATCAAGAGTTCTTCCATTTTACGCATGCGCGCAAAGGGAGGCGGAGTACCGCGGGCTTTGCAAAGCACATGATAGCAACTAACAGCATTTTGCCTCAGACATGGAGGGTTTGGCAAGCTGCTGCTTAGCATAGTGGGAAGTATGGCAAAGGAAAAGGTTAAGGATGGAATTCATAGGTGCAGCTCTGAACTTCTCATGCTGTACCTAAAGCGACTCTATGTGCTTTCTGAGTAATAAGGTTCATTGAATGGTTTGAATGCATTTCTTAGTTTCCTATCTCTGAGTTTGTGTGCTTTCGAGTCAGTATTGCTTCCTTCCTAGGCCGGAGAGAGTGAGTAGCCTAAGGTTATTCAGTTCTCTTTGCTCCTAAGAACTCACAGAGTCTTTAGTTTGTAGCTTGGTGCATTAACCACATCAGTGTTTCCAAAACTTGGTAATGTTAAGATATCTGGGCTTCAACTCCCAGAATTTCCCAGCAATCCCCATGAATTGATGTACGATTCTTAGCCTATGCACTGTTGAATTCTGGGCCCTGAATGGTCTTTTAAAGGTCACCTACATACATTTGTATTTGTATCAATAACACACAGATAGCAATTCACATACACACATCTACAAAATGGCACTAATTGGCTTTTTAAAGTCTTGGGGTATACTTCTCTTGACATTAAGATGATATATTTAATGGTAAGGTACTTGAGCTGTGTAGTTTGATGTGAGGGATAACTTTAGAGTTGTTACATCTATTGTGTTGGGTAACTGTCAGGGTAATGTTTAGGACAGCGGTTCTCAACCTGTGGGTTGCGACCTCCATTTTTCCCCCCTTTTCTTTAGCTGTGCTACTCCCTCTTCTTCTATTGGCTTTTGAAAGCCAATAGAATAGACTCTATTCAAGAGTTCGAAAGCCAATAGAATCTATTGGCTTTCGAAAGCCAATAGAATAGACTCTCTTGAATAGAGTCTAATTCTATTGGCTTTCAAAAGCCAATAAGAATTGTCCAGGCTGTCTCTGCTCTGCTGAGACCGCCAAAAGCCCCAGTCTGCAAACGGTGCTGCAAGGAAAGCTTCCCTCCCTGCTGAGCAACTTCTAAAAATGTAAATAAAAGAGGGCCAGAGGTGGGAGGCCGGCGAGTGCAGGGAGGGTTGCTGGCGCGCGTGAGGCCTGGCGGGTGCCTTACCTGCCTAGGCTGGGCCAGTTGGTGGCCCAGCCGGTGGTCGCCCTGCGTCATCGCTGCCGCTTGCTGTGGCCGCCCAGGAGCGCCTGGGCCTGCCTGCCACCGCCCCGAACGGGCGGCGGCCAAGGTAAGGCTAGTGGGGCAGCGGCGGGCGCAGGGAGGGTTGTTGGCGCGTGTGAGGCCCAGCGGGTGCCTTACCTGCCTGGGCTGGGCCAGCTGGTGGCCCAGCCGATGGTCGCCCTGTGCCGTCGCTGCCCCTTGCCAGCTGGCCTCGGCTGGCGCAGGGGGCAGCACCACTCATGTGCGGTGCTCCCGGGCAGGGAAAGTCCTCGACTTACGACCGGTTGGGTAGTCCTCGACTTATGACCGGTTGGGTAGTCCTTGACTTACGACCGGTTGGGGGTCGCGGCATTAAAAAGGTTGAGAACCACTGGTTTAGGATAATTATTTTTATTGGAATAATTAAGGTTAAGTTTCCTTGAGTTCTGGTTACATTTGTTTCAATAATTAGCTTTAGAATGAGTTTTTAGATAAACATATAGTGTTGGTCTTTATTTTTTGTGAGGGTGATCTGTTTACATAGCCTTTAAAGTACAAAAATTATATTGATATAATGCAGTTTGAATTATGATGGGCTCCTATAAGGTCTGTGATAACATTTAATGAATGATTGGCTTTTGCATAAGCTTTTTCAGTAGTAGTGGACCTACATTTGTGTTATGTTGGTACCTGAGTTGTTATTAGTCTTCATGATACCGTTGCCAAGGTAAATTTTAAAGTAAGAACACTAAGGTAACCTTTACTGTAAAACACTTGACATTGGTGTAAAATTAAGCTTAGGTAGGTTTTCTTGAGGTCCAAGATTGTATTTAATGAGGGGGGTAGGTTTTGGATGAGGTGTTGTGGTTAATGGTAATCTTATATTCATTTTATAATGTGGGAATTGCCTGCTGGGTTAACTTTTACATTAAAAAATCTCTATTAGTAGTGATTTAGTTTGGCATGATCATTAGTTTTAATTGATTTTTTTTTTATGGTAGAAGCATGTTATTGGGGAATTTTAGGATAAATTGTTCAACTATTCAGGGAAAGGTAGGGTTAGGATTTTACTTCTTTGATGTGTAAGGTTTAGAATATAATAGAATAGAGCTGGAAGGGATCTTGGAGTTCTTCTTGTCCAGCCCCCAATATTTTATGAATTTTTTATAATCACAAATCCTTAATATTTTATCAGCAACATATTGTCTGGGTTCCAATGTTTAGTCCAGTGGTTCTCAACTGGTCGTAAGTCGAGGACTACTCAACTGGTCGTAAGTCGAGGACTACTCATCTGGTGCAGCACCGTTTGCAGAATGGGACTTTTGGCGGGCTCAACAGGGCAGAGACAGCCTGGGCAAGCCAATAGAATTAGACTCTATTGAAGAGAGTCTATTCTATTGGCTTTCAAAAGCCAATAGAATAAAAGGGAGTAGCACAGCTAAGGAAAAGGGGGGAATATGGCAGACTGCATTGTTTGGCGACCTCCGTGAAATGGTCGTTCGACCCCAAATGGGTTCCCACAGGTTGAGAACCACTGGTTTAGTCTACTAATACATGTTAAATTCCTTTCTCTCTACCTCGTTTTTCTAGCCATTGATAAAACATATCCCATGTTCTAAAGTAATCTGAATCTTCTTTCTCTTTCATTTTTAGTGTCAGTCTGTCCATTTCTGCACAATCTAAAATTGTCTTAATTATCTCTTCCTCCGCTGGTAATTCTTCATCTTTCTAATGTTGAGCAAATACAATTCTCGCTGCAGTTAATACATTAAATATACAGATTCCTTCTCATAATTTCCTACAATTATACCTAACAAAAATAATTCTGACTTAAAATCTATGTGTTTTTAGTCATTTTCTCTAATCATATATGTATTCTTAATCAAAATCTTTTGGCTTTAGGGCATGTCCACCAAAGATGATAGTATGTGCCTGGTTTTTGTCTACACTTCCAACAATTGCTAGATATATTTTTAAACATTTCGCTAACCTCACAGGTGTTAAGTGCCATCTGTAGAACATTTTGTATAGGTTTTTTTTGTAAGTCACTACCTTTGTTATTTTAGAATTTCTTTCCTAAAGACTTTGCCAGTTTTCTAACTCTATGTTATGCCCAAGGTTTTTTTGCCATATTATCATTGTTTCCTTAACTTGTCCCTCTTCCATCTTTAAACTTAATATATACTTATATAGTTTCTTAATCAATTTTTCATGTGATATCAATAATATCTGGTCAAATTCTATCTGTTCTTTATAAAATCCAAATATTTTAACATCTTTTTCTTATCTCGTTTGAATTTGCAAGTGTGGCTACCATGATAAATCAATGCCCTGTTCTTTCAGTTCTTGTCTGGGTTTTAGTTTCCCTTCAGTATTCAAAATGTCTTTATAGGTCACAATTTTCTCATAGTTAAGTTTGGGTGAACAAACGCTTCCATTATTGAAAGCCATCCATGTAGATTTTCGCTTTTACTTTTTCCCATTCTAGAAGAAGTGCATTTCTTATGTAGTGGTTTTGAAAGTATCTATGTATTTTATTCTTCCCATTCCATAAGAAGGCATGCCATCCAAATTGTAGGTCATGCTCCTCTAGGTATAGTACCGTATATGCCGGCGTACAAGGTGACCCGGCTTATAAGATGACCCCTGTCTTTGTCGCTGAGCCGCATTCCTAGAACATCGTCTTATACGCCGAAAACTATTTTCGGCGTATAAGACGAAAACAGTATTTCCGGCGTATAAGATGACTCGGCGTATAAGACGACCCCCATCTTTGGTGCCGATTTTAACGCTTGCGGAAGTCGCCTTATACGCCGGCATATACGGTAATCTTTACCTCTAACAGTTATCCATTTTTTTAACCAAGTTAATACAGATGCTTGATAATATAAAGCCCAATGTGGCAGGCCAAATCCTCCATTTTCTTTCATTTCTTGTAGCATTTTCATCTAATTCTAGCTTTTTTTCTTTGCCAAATATATTTCAAAATCAGTATTTAATTCATCAAAAAAATTCCCCAGTTTTATAGATATTGTTTGAAATAAAAATAGTAGTTTTGGTAAAATATTCATCTTCACCATTGTTATTCTCCCTAGCATTGTAGGGAGTTGTTGTAGATTTTTTCCGTTTTTCCCGGTCTAATTTTATTTGTTTTAATAATTTTACATAGTTGTCTTCTTTTATTGTTGCACATCTTGCTGTTAAATATATCTCCAAGTATTTGATTTTCTTAACTATTTGAAGGTCTGTTTTTTTCTCCAAGTATTTGATTTTCTTAACTATTTGAAGGTCTGTTTTTTCTGACAATTGATTTTTTTTTTGTTTATCTGTAAAGTTATCACTTTGGTCTTTTCTCTATTTATTCTGCCACTTCTCCAAATTCTTCTATCTTTTTCATAAGCTTGAGGCTTGTCTCAAGCGGCTCTTCTAATACAAAGACCAAGTCATCTGCAAATGCTTGTAGTTTATATTTTTCATCTTTTATCTCCAGTCCTTTAATTTCTGAGTCTTGCCTAGTATTTCTATTCAGTACTTCCAGTGTTAATATAAATAATATTGAGGATAATGGACGTCCTTGTCTCTTGCCTTTTTTAAAATTAAAGTTTTTTGTAACGTCTCCATTTATAATTCCTTTAGCTATTTGTCTATGATAAATTGTTTTAATTATATTTATAACATTTTCTCCAGAATCCATCTCGTTTAGTTGTTGAATCATAAATTTCCAATTTACATTATCAGCCCTTTGTGCATCTAGGAATATTAGCGCCATCTGATCCCTGGGTGCATTTCATAGCATTCCAAAACATCTAAAATCATTCCTAAGTTAATTTTTATTTATCTCTTAGATAAAAATTCATTTTGGTCTGTATGTATAAATTCAATCAAAAATTTCTTTAATCTTTCTGCTATTATTGAACACAGGGTCCTGAGCATGCGCATGACGCAAACACTTGCATGATACTCACTAACCCTGTTCCGTTCTTATGCACAGCATTCTGTTTCTGCGTCCCAAGGCGTGTCGGCCTGTTTTCGCACACCAAGGCACGGTGGCATCCCATTTTGTACCCTGAGGCGTGGCGTTGGCCTGTTTTCAAGCAGTGCAGTGGCTCAGTGTCCCATTTTTGCACCCTGCGGTGCGGCAGTGTCCCATTTTTTGCACTGTGCAGTGTGGTGTCCTATTTTTGCGTCCTGCAGCTGTGGCGCTAGTAGCCAGTGTCCCACAAGTTGGGGGCCCCTGAATTAAAGAGTGTAATGTCTAAAGTCACCTAGTTAACTAGTTAGGCCCAGGTTTGAATGGTACCTGAGTCTCCACGTTTCTAATCTAAAACCTTAATCACTATAGGCTTTAAATTTAAAGTTTATCTTTACCTTGCAATTTCTAACAATTGCAATTGCTAACAACCTCATGGAAAACTCTTAAGATAAATCCTGAATCATAAATGTAAACTGTGATTGGGAAACCAAGATTATATACCCATCAAAATTAATAAAACATAAGTTAGTCATGACTACAATAGGTTTTTCTATTCTCGTCACAGTCTTATTATTAAGGTGGCCATTTCACACTCACTGAATATATATTATATATTACATGGTAAATATTTGTGCTGTGTTTTTATAAAATATTATGGTGAAAAATAGCCTATATGCATCTACATGTATAGGCAAAAATTTGGAAGCTATACAATATATTTATTTTCAATTAGAAGAAAGTTTAAACATTAAGTTTCAGGAAGTTTTAGACGTTATATTATTTTCTTCAATGTCTTACAGAATCAACTGGATTTCTGATGTTGTTGTTGTGGTCTCTTCAGAAAATATTGAAATAATGAAATCTATTATTAGAAAATATGGCCACGAACGGACAACGGTAGTAGAAGGTGGACTAACCCGTCATAGATCTATTTTCAATGGATTGAAAGTATTTGTAAAAGGCAACACATTCTGTGCTCCATTCCACAAACCAGAAATAATAGTAATCCATGATGCTGTCCGACCATTTGTTGAAGAGGATATTCTTTTTAAAGTGGTTATGGCTGCCAAAGAGCATGGGGTAAGTATGATGAAATCACAAATATTTGTAATGTTGCACTAATAGCAATATACAGTTTATTCTTTATCAACTTTATGTTCTCCATTAATATGCATAACTAAGAATTATTGACTAAGATTTTAAAAAAAATCAAAACATAAGGTATAAGTATGCATCCATGGTAACTTGTAATTTGTTTTTCTTGAATGGATAAGAGTTCTAGTACAAAATTGGCACATTGCTTTTGAAAATGAATGGATTTTAATTGCAGTTTTTAGTAAATCATATGGAATGGAATACTATTGGAAATTAAAACTCTTGTGCTTATCTTGTAACATTTGAATGTTAGCCATCTGAAAATACAGTTGACTTGAATAAATATATTAAAAATTCTTTTAAGGGTTTAAGTCACACATAACTTTATAGCAAAATATTTTATTGGCTCATAAGATTTCATGTAAAAGTTTAATAAGTAAAGATTGTTTAATTTTCTATAATTTAAATGGTTAAACCAGGGGTCTTCAAACTTGGCCCTTTTATGATTTGTGTGCCTGGCTGAAGAATTCTGGGAGTAGAAGCCCACAAGTCATAAAAAGGCTATGTTTGAAGACTCCTGGGTTAAACCAACGAAATACTGAATGTTGAACTTCAATATGTTAATAGGAAATCTAAGAAAGAAATGCCTTACTTTTGTGAATTTCTTTAGTTTATTAACCAAAGAATCAAAAGTATGTTATGGATGTCAAAAATAGTTAACATAAACAGACCTCATCATCATCATCAAGTTGGAAGGGACCTTGGAGGTCATCTAGTCCAACCCCCTACTTAGGCAGGAAACCCTATACCAGGGGTGGGGAACCTTGGCTCTTTTATGACTTGTGGACTTCAACTCCCAGAATTCCTGGGCCAGCCACTGAAGTCTACAAGTCATAAAAGAGCCAAGGTTTCCCCCGGCCCCCCATGCCTTATACCATTTCAGACAAATGGCTGTCCAGTCTCTTCTTAAAAACTTCCAGTGTTGGAACATTCAGTTTCTGGAGACAGGTTGTTCCACTGATTAATTGTTCTAACTGCCAGAACTAAGTTCTAGGTTGCTTCTCTCTTTGGTTAGTTTTCATCTGTTGCTTCTTCTCCTGCCTTCAAGTGCTTTAGAGAATAGCCTCGTCTTTGTGGTAGCCCCTGAGAAATTGGAACACTGCTATCATGTCACCCCTCATCCTTCTCTTCTTTAGACTAGACATACCCAATCCCAGCAACCATTTCTTATATGTTTTAGTGTCCAGTACCCTGATCATCTTTGTTGCTCTTCTCTGTACTCTTTCTGGAGTCTCAACATCTTTTTTACATTGTGGTGACCAAAACTAGATGCAGTACTTCAAGTGTGGCCCTACCGTGGCCTTACCGAGGCATTGTAAAGTGGTATTAACATTTCATGTGATCTTGATTCTATTCTCTGTTAATGCAGCCTAGCACTGTGTTGGCTTTTTTGGCAGCTGCAGCACACTGCTGGCTCATATTTAAGTCATTGTCCACTAGGACTCCAAGATCCATCTCATAATTGCTACTATTGAGCAAGGTACCACCTATACTATACCTGTGGATCCGGTGGGGTGGGAACCATTTCCTTTGCTTTTGGACAGGCTCTGAAATTGCAGCAAGCAAGGGGATTGGAGGCACATGAATGCACAGTAGTCTGGCATCTCAAAAAACCAGGTCCCCCCTCCCATGCTGGATTTTTGCTGCCATTCTGTTTAACTTTCTTTAAAGTTACTTGATGCAGAACTTGCATTACAGCACAAAGGTTTCACTAATTAATTGTTAAGCTTCCATCCATTACTTCTTGCCTGGCTTGCGATTAAATGCTTTGGAAAATTGGTTATCCCCTTCCTCTCTGTGACAGCCCTTCAAATAGTAGAACATTGCTATCATGTCACCTAGTCCTTTTTGTTAGACAAGACATTCCCAGTTCCCACAACTTTTCCTTGTTCCTGTCTCTTTAATTATCTTTGTTGCACTTTCATAGAGTCTCAGTGTCTGTTTTGTATTATGGTAACCAAAACTGGACACAATATTCCAAATGTAGTCTTACTAGTGCAGCATAAAGTGGTACTAACACTTCATGTGGTCTTGATTCTATCCCTCTTTTGATGCATCCTTAGACTGCTCATACTAGGACTCCTAGATCCCTCTCACAGTTATTGCTATTGAGCTAGATATGCATTTTGTTGTTGAATAGGGCCCAGTCGGTTATATTTTAGAAATATGTTTCATATTCCTGTTTTAAATTTACTTCTGTGCAGAGCCTATGCATAGCTAATGCCTGCATCCAAAGAAAAACAATATAAATATCCTCTTTTTTGGCGCATTAAACTGGAAGCCATTTAGGAAAAAAATGTACAAAGCCTACTCTAAAGCAAATATGGAATGAATGAGAAATCTACATAAATACTGCTTTGTTAAGCATTTTATGAAGAGTAATTATTTCCTTTTTACATTATGTGCTTAGACTTCCTAGTTTTTTTTCAAAAAAACTTGGCTAAAACTTAACATTAAATCACTCATGCAACAATGATACTGTAAATTCAGATTCTGCATACCATATGGATAGCATAATTGAAGCCTTAATGTTCTTAAAATGGCAATTGATCAAGTAGGATATTGCACTTTTTAATTCCACTTGTCAGTAGAATAAATTACATTATTACATTTACTAATCAGTTTGTTATTTGCCTGCAGGATTCAAAATGTGCAGCTTATAAGAACTACTAAATTATGCCCTAGTAAATTAATTGTATGAAACAATCTCTGATTATGTTAGAATATGGCTTTGTAACCAATTAAAATCCATTTATGTTTTGAAGCAATTCATAATTAAAATTATAATTTCTAGAAACCTACTTTTTGTTGCCAATACAAGTTGTGGAAGGTAGTGAAAACAGAAGAAAGCAGCATTCCAAAGCTCCTAGCAATTTCCTATTGCCAACAGTTTTAACAGTACACAAGGAAATGTTTTCAGCAAGTTTTTTTTAAAAGAAAGTTGTCAGTCCTGAAAGATAGGATTAGGAGTCTTCTTAACTATAAAAAGTCCAATTTTCTCCTGAAATCTTATAACTAAAGCTTCAATTTATTCTGTTATAACTTCAAGAATAAGTTAACACCATGCTTGTACTTTTTCTTTAAAACTTGGATTCTTATTTTATCAATGGCAAAAAAAGTTAAAATGGAAACATTTTAGACATTCAGATATAGTGATTATGTATGATTGAATCAAATACATAAAGATAGATTTTGATATGAATGGTGATAATAATATTTGTTGGCAGGTTCAAAAAAATACATTATACCAGTCTCCTAGTTTTAACCAGATTATTTATTCAGGGATAGTACACTGCCAGTATGATTCTTTGAGCATGTATTAATCTTCAGATTAATCTACAGGCTCTAAATTCAAATGTTTGATATGATTTAAACTATATATATATTTATGATAGAATATCATGCTCACACACATAAACACAAACACTCTAATTTCTCTTCCCTACCCTAATTCTAATAATTCTGTTCTATTTGGCTTTAGTGGAATATATGCATGTGTTAAATAAACCTGATTTCTTTTAAAATAAACTGTCATTAGTGTTAATCAGTGTCAATTAGATATGCCATACTGTCACCAATATTCAACACTAGCTCAAAAAGCAGATTTGGAAAATTGCTGGAGTTGAAGATTAGGTTAATGATGCCTTCTTGCCGACCAATCTTTCCCTGGATTGTTGATTCATTTTTGCCTTTGGTGATTGATTTCCTGCAACCTAGTTAATAGTTAGGAGAAAATGGACAAGAGTGTGAAGTTACCAACTTGCATCCCTTAAAGCAGGTCATGGCCCACTACCGGGCCTTGAGTCATTTGGAACCAGGCCGCAGAAGTAGTGGGCAAGTACATGTGGACATCCCCACTTGTGCAAGCAGCAGGTGAACACATGTATGTGTGCTCCATTTGCATGAGCGGTGTGAATGTGGGCCCACCACTCGGACAAATAGACCTGTGGGTGCACTTGCCCGCCCACGGAACCATCTCCCCCCCCCGCTGATCTCCAAAGCTGCAAACATTGGGGAATTTTGCCTTAAAGACATGCAGACTACTAATTGTATGTTGTGATTTTGCATAGGATTCTATCCTGAAACATTTACCCATAGCCCTTTTTAGGCCTCAATTTTGGGGACAGATTGTGGTACATTTCAAAGGATGCTAGAACAATTTGTTTTTCTTAACTTCAGGCTGAAAGAAATCTAGCTAGGAATACAAACTTTTTTTTTTTTTGCTTATGTCTGGGATAAAATTAAATTCAAAAAGAGACTTGGAGGTTACTGAAAAAAAAATTATTTAAAAAATCTTTGCAAAGGCTGGTGGACTTCTTTTAACACAATCAAGAAGCATACAGAATCAAAATTGGCAAGGGTTTAAATACCTACTGGTTCCGATGACACGCCACATCTCTCCTCCTTGGACCCAGTTGATAGGCCCACTTTGGTCATATGCTTTCCGACCACCTAACCTGACAACAGGTTTTCTGCCTGACAATATGTTTTCCATCTTTTAAGGAACTAAGGTTATGTAACATTTAACTAGGCTCTCATTAAATATTTTTTAATCAAAAATTACATTTCCTTCACTTACAATTCAAAATCAAGATTTTATTGCAGCTCATTCCATTTTAATAGGTCTTCTTTCTTGAATTCCTAAAATGGTACCTGAGATATATGAATATATATTACTTGCCCTTACTTAAATAATGAAGTAATTTAGAGCTTCTTACCATTAGGAACATGCAATGAATGTTTGACATGTATGATATTGTTTTTTTGTGATTTTAGGTATAATTTATGCTTTTTACATTGTTGTTTTTATTTTTAAAAAATTTACTTGCTATAATTGATGTGTATTTGTGACCCATGCTAAATACATTTCAGTTTTCTATGCTGATAAGTTTAAACACAGCCATATTTTCATTCAAAAAGTAATT